TAACTTTATCACCCTATTACTGATTTATTGTTATATCTCTCAGTGAAATATAATGAATTAGATTCATTCTTTGATCTTGTAAACCTTTGATTTTTTCTAGTCTGCAATGTTTGGACTTTTAATACTATTAGTAGTTTATTTAGGAAGCTAATCATTCAAACATATTCATTAGTTAGCCTAATACCTTTAAATCATTTGGTAATGATTCGTTTCACATCAGTATGGGTATTGTATATGCCATTATTAAGAATGCCAAATTAAAGTTGCCAATTACAAATATAAACTTTGGCAGATGCATTTCGAAGAATGTCCCAACTGATCATGTTAACTGTCAAACGTCATCGATTGCAGCTTGCACGCCTCTACACGTGGCAGCTCAGCAAGGTTACGCCAGCTGCATCCAGAAGCTTGTGGATGCTGGAGCAGACATGTATGCTCGGGATATCTGGGCCAGTATACCATTACATCGTGCTGCCATGAACAACAAACCTGCGGCCATCATGCAACTTATTGAGTGCGGTTGTGATCCCCAAGTCAAAAACAAGTTCGGAAAGACAGCGTTGCACTTTGCTGCTCTTGGTGGTGGCCTGGAGTCGGCAAAGGTCCTTGTGATGAATAATTTGAACTATCATGAGAAGGATGGCCAGGGATTTTCATCCCTTGACATAGCGAGAGTATACAGTCATCACGAAGTTGAGTGGTGGTTCCTCAAAAACCCTTCCCCTGAGGTGATGCGTCTTCCCATGGCCGTCCCCAAAGCGAAAGACTCAGAATGCTCCTCTTCTGGCTTACCTGTGGATGGGTCTCTGCCAGACTCTTCATCTCCAGTCTCCCCTTTGACAAATATTGTGGAAGTTACCAGTCACACAGGTGCAGAAAACGCACCTGTGTGCACAAAACCAGATAATACCAAACTCACAATACAAACTAACACAGCCACAGAAGATGGAGTTCAAAGTACTGAAACCACAGCTGATAAAATTTCAGTCACCATCAAAAAAGCAGTCACCACATTAAAGCCAAAGATTTCCCCTGACACTCGGCACATTATGGTAGTACGTATTCCACTTTAGTTCCTATGATATATAAATACATGTGTGTCCTGTTTTATGTTAAGAAATCCCATGTGTTATGTACTCCATATTGATGCATTTCATTTTTTTTTCAGGACAAGAGCTTACGAATTGAAGAAGAACTATCGAAGAGCATCCTCGAATACATCAGGAGAGGAGCCAGTCACCTGCTCATCAACATCCACCACAGTCACGATGGACACTACCAAGATAAGAATGGACTGACGCCTGTACACTGGGCCGTTACGCTCAGGGAAGCCCGCACGGTGGAGGTGCTCCTGGACGTTCACAAGCTCTATCCAGAATCTCTGTCCTATTCGGGAGAGACACCTGCTGATCTCGCGCGACAGGCCGGGAATAATGAGGTTTTGAATATTATGAAGCGGTTTCAGGTTATCAAGGTATGTACTGAAGTACTGTATATAACACTGAAACCTTGGTGAAGTACATAAGATATTTTGAATGTTTCAAGTTGATGCCATCTGCCATTCACTTTACTATTGGTGTTATATTAATCTTTGCCAGTAATGTTAGATGTCTGCTTCTCCTATGAACATAAGAGTATTTTGAAGAGACCGAGACATGGCAAATGCCTTTGACAATGATTGTTTCCACTAATTTCATACATGTATTAACTTGAATTTACTTTTGCTCCAGTTTCAAGTTCACTGGATAACATATTTGGTAGACAGAGAAACAAACAGACAAAGACAGACAGACAGACTGAGAAACAGAGACCGAGAGAGACCCTTTCTTTCATCTTACAAGTGACATAAACCCAATTTTTTTGCTCCACAGAAAGTGGAGGACCCTGAGGAACTGTACGAGGAGCTCTTGACAGTCATTGGTTCTGGGGATGACGCGGTGAAAGCTTCCGAGCTGCTGTGCCAAGGTGCCCCTCTGGAGCCGGTGGGTAGTCTCTCCACTCACGCCCTGTCCCTCGCTGTGACATCCAACCGTCGCAAGCTGGTGAGCCTTCTCATTGCTGCCGGGGCTCCTCTCACCTCCATGGCTGGGGGCCTGACTCTCCTGCAGCAGGCTTGGAACTCTTCTGATGTCACAATCCGAGTACAAGCTCTCATCACGAGGGTAAGTAGCTTCTCCAAAGGCATTTCTTTCCTAAGACTATCATGATTAAAATTGGCATGCTCATATTTAAGCATAAAAAGCTATATTCTGTGCACTTTAGAGTTTACAGTATTCCCCAATAGACTAGAAATTAAAATACTGGAATTCAACCCCCAGGCCTACAAGAACAGGTTGGCTTGGGAGAAGCGGCAGCTCCCGCCTCGTGAAAGCCTTCTCCACCAGGGTATAGACCGCATGCTGGACACTCTAGGAGGCCCAACGCCATGGAAGACGAAGTGGAAATTCTTGGGTGTGAAGACACTTACGGCTCTTATGTGCACGGCTGCCCAGTATAATTGCATCCTCACAGCATTTTTCCTGCAACAGGCAGGGGCTCAGAGCTTCCTGTTGAGTGAGGGTGGCTGCACGTCCCTCCATGCGGCACTCCATTTCAAACACTGGAATCTTGCAGCTGCCATGGTTAAAGACATGAGCGCAAGCCTTTACATATCTGACTCTTCGGGCGTTTTGCCAAAGGATATCATGCCCAACTACTTACGAGAGGAGATTGAAGAGGTTAGTCTGTTTGGTGCCTACCTGTGTATAACTACCTTTTTTCTAATAGGAAATTTTATATCTTGTGTCAGATACTAAGTTACGAGAATACAAATAATTTTTTCGACATTACTAATTCATTGCATAATACATGTAAATACGTTTATTTAAATTAAAGTAATTTTCCTTCTGTACAGGCTTTGCATGCAAAAGAGAAGAGGAAATTAGATGATATGTATGAAAAACTGAAAGACGAGAGCGAAAAAGAAGACGTAAAGCTTATAATCCAACTATCAGACGACCTCTTCTCCATTTATCGAAACTCAGACGGCAGCAACAGCCATGAGATTCCGCCTTACCTCTCCTCTATCGTCTGTGCGTCACTGTCAGTAGCAGCGCAGAGAGGACTTCTGCAACTCATGTACATGATTGTAAAAGTGTGTGGGGTGCAGCCAGACACGGTGGTCGATTACACCAACGACACCACCGCCCTTCACCTGGCTGCGGCGCATGGCATCTCCGGTTGCGTGGCTCTTCTCTTGGATCTCAATGCCAATCCTTTGCAGCCAGACAAATATGGACACACGGCTTTGCATTTTGCTGCCATGAACTGCCACGACTCGACATACCAGCTTCTGGCGGCAATGGTTCATGATGAGGAGCCAGTAAGCGTAGCAGGTACTGTGCCTTCAGAAATCAAAGAAAATGTGGATAAGTATCTCAAGTTGTACAGGAAGACAGAGACCGCTATCAAGGACAACTCTAACGTTCCAGAAAGAACGGATCCAGCAGAAGCAACAGTAACGTTACTGAAACAGGTGGGCTTGAGTGACATCGTGGATGACTGTAGTGACTTCAGTGTTGACTTCAGTGAGGGCGAGGCAAGGGAAGTGAGCACAGCAGTCCAAAAGGAGTGTCAGATTATTGCCAATGGAGTAGCGTTGCAAGACAAGACGTATGAGGGAACCCTGACTCTTGTGGGCAGTTCATCAGATGGTACCCGCTTATATGCGCCGGATGAATGTGATATAAGTATAGTTCTTTCTAATATTCCAGACATTGAGATCACAGTTGTGGAACAGAATGAGCGGGAGGTTTTGGACTGTGGACACAGACTCCGAATCGAGGTGAGGACAGACGCACCAAAGTTTCAGGGCAACACACTCATTGAAAACTTGTATAGCCTCGTCACCAGCTACTTGGAAAGCCATATCCTACATGACAAGCGACTGAGCGTTGTTCCCCCTGGAGTGACGAGGACCCAGGTGGGCGTGTCCCTGTCTTTTGCTTGGCAGGGGAGGCAGTACCCGCTGTTGCTCGTGGGCGTCGACCTGGTGCCGGTGCTCCCTCTTCCCTGGCCCAAGGACGTGCTCAGACCAGCGCTGACGCCCCCGGACATTGAGGAGGTCCACCTCAGCAACAAGGCGGACGGAACGTGGCGGTGCAGCTTTGCAGGAGCCGAAGTTGCGGTGATCAGCCAGCTGTCGGCTGAGGAACGACGGGTGTTCCTGTCGTGCAAGACGCTGCTGTCCCGCTTGAAGGCAGAGGTGTGGATGCCCCGAGACGTGAAGTCCCTGTACACGTGGTGGGATTCCCGCCAGTGGAAGATTCCCATTCCGGCTGGATTCGCGCTGAAGAACGCCTTTCTGAACGTGTTGGAATGGAAGCGGAGGGAGGGAGTCGAGTGGCGCGAGAAGGACCTGCTCAAGTGGATGATCAGAGTGTTCAGGGAAATGTGCCAAGCGGACGTGGAGTTCCTCGCCGACCAGGAGCAAGTGCAGGCGCGCGAGGTCCTTGCGCCGAAGAAAGTGTATGCTTACTTCGGGGGCGACTTCGAGAAGCCGAAGGTGGGCGACGGCGCCCCGGACATCATCGGGATTCTGGAGCAAGAACTTCGGAGCAGCTGATCGTCTTCAGTCAGGAAAACGTGCATCGAGGTTCACGTCAGTTCTTCAGTGCATTGTCTTATAGATTTTTTTGGTATTTATTCAACTGTTTACAGTGTAAATGAACACGCATGCACATACTCATACACTTAATCTTACACTTATTCTGGTACTTTTAATTACACATACGCATACATACATACAAGGAGACTGACAGGTACAGACATACATATACCCATACAAATACACATACCACCACGTCTATGGAGCAATTACACGCAGCAGCAAACAGTGTATAGATGTATATATAAATGTTGATACTTATATGATCATGTTTATGGTATTTTTAGTCACTGGTTTATCAGTCACTCCAGATTATCTCCGGAAGTCATCAATAAAGCCTAGTTTTATAGCAAGA